GAAGCACAAAAGCACAGAAGTCACACAACAATTGGGGCTGAGACAGGTGGATGGCCTCCACTGCAAAAGTTACTGGTCCCCAGAGGAAAGGAAAACACCCAGTGCCAGGGGAGATGTGAGCTAAGGAAGGAGGGTGTCAGACACCCACGAAGCAGACAGTTCCACGTGGCTCCAGAGGAGCATGGATGTTGTGGCAGCTGAAGGGTAGAATTCTGGGCTCGTGCTTAGGTCTGCAGAGGTACACATCTGTTTCACTTTCATGGTTTCCCATTGATTCTGGTTATTTTTATGGAGTGAAACAGGTCTTCAGGACAGCACTCCACTATTAACCATGGAGCCCAAGTGAAAGGAGGACATGGGATGACTCGAGACAGCACCTTGTTCCTTCGTCTGTTCCAGGAGTGCAGCCATCTGAGCCTGCTCAGAATAGAGGGCCCCACTCAAAGGCATGTGCCGTGGTTTGTCTGCAGACCCCATGCACCCACAACACCCAATACGATGAAGCACTGGATACCCAGCACATGGAAGGCAAACACACAAAGAAACACACAGAACTTAAACACAACATGGAGAACCACCTCAGAGTTGGAAGAGTCTGAGAATCTGTCTTAGAAATCATGAAAGCTGAACATGAAAAAACTGCTGCTGCTGCTCTAAGCCTAAGGAAATGAGTGGTAAACTAAAAAAACAAAACCCACATGGCCATCTGCAGTCATCATGGAAGTGACGCTGGGAATAAACCCCACTTCTGGCTACATCAGCCTTTCCCTCCTGCTTTGCTCCACCTGCTTTGTTTACTTGATCCTGTTTTGTGCAGGAAATACATAAGTCTATTCAAATGGTAATTTACAACCTATGATGAGGGTCTATGCTATTAGCATCTAGCAGAACTAAGATGATTTTCACATTATTCGTACCCTACAACTCCCAAAGTATTTTAGGAAGCTTATAGTAATCTGCAAAAACATAATAAATCCATTAAAATAACAGCAAAATGTCATTCATAGGACACCTTAGGGAGGAGAGCCTCCTCTCGTTTTCACAAATGAAACTCATCAGATTTGGAGAGGTCACCTGTCCAAGGTCCTAATGCAGAATAGTTCCCTCTAACTTCTCATCTGCCACATGCTGTAAACTAATGCTTTACACTCGCCAAGTGTGGGCTCTCGTTACCCACGGAATTAGTTTCATAAAGTTATCCAAAACCTTGCCTGTAGTGAGCACTGGCCATGTTCTCTCTCAGGCAACACCTACTTGGAGAGCCCTCAGGAACAGAGCCCATCCTGAGTAAGAGCTGAGGTCTCGCTACTGAGGTCTGGCTGCCAAACCTGCTCTACTGGAAACCCCAAGCGTGAAGGTGGGGAAGTATGGACTATGGTAATGGGATATTTGGCCACTCTTGGGGTTTCTGCTGTTCCTTCACAAAACCCACAGGACACCTGGGGTAAGGGCGTTGAGAGGTGGCTCAGCTGACAGGGTGGCCCTGCCTTCTCTGGCACAGTGCAAGGAGGGGAAGATGGGGGGAGCAGGGTACAGGAGTCAGAGTTCTAACAGAAAGGGACGAGAATGGAGAGATGCAGAGAGTGGCAGGAGATGGGACACACGAATACACAGTACGGCAAACACCCCCACAATGGTGACCAGCCAGGCAGGGAGGGAAGCAACCCCCCGAGTCTCACCACCGCAGCATAACACACCTTCACTGCCTCGGGACACATGGAGCCTTGCACAGCAGGCCTCAAATGCACACAGAACAACACTGAAAAGAAATCTATCCCCAGCAGCTTGAGGCTCTGTGGAGCTGGCAAGAACAACGTACTGCTGGCACAGATAGAGTTAGAATGAGAGGGTAACTGAGTGCTGGAAGGGCCAGGAACGCCAGCAGGGTGACGTGTGGTGGCTGCCCTCACCCCTGTCCCAAAGGCGCTGCTCTAATCCACGCAACTACAAAGATCCTGTAATCAAGACAAGCGAGGCACACTCCATGCTGCTTTTCCTGCCAGCTAAGGGTGAAAAGCAGGAGTGGGCCTCCAGAATATGGGCTGGAGCTGAACTCATCCCTCAGACACACACTCTCTCCCTGTCTCCGAATCCCTCTCCTGGTCCCTGGGTTCTGCCTCCCTGCTGCCTCCTTCCTCTTTCCCTCCAGAGTCCTTGCCTTCCCCTGATTCCCTGGGATCCAACCTGTACCCCTGTACTTAGTACCCAAGTAACCTCCTTCGAGGCAACCCTGTAGGTGGGTCCCCAGCTAACGAGGACATCACAGGTCCCATGTGCCCTGCTGATAACGCCCAAGTCCTGGCCTCCGAGCTCCAGTCATGGGAATCACGTGCCGGACCATCATGCCCTGCCTTTGCTCCCACCCCTGCCAGGATGGAACATGCTCCCTCTACCCACCTAGGCTGGGAGTCCATTCAGTCTTCAGGACCTGTCTCAAATGCCACCTCCTCCAAGACTCTCCGTCAAGTCCCCAGCAGGATGCCACTGCATCTCCCTGATGCACTGCCCTGTATACTGTGGGCAGGTGGGCCATGTACTTCATTTGTCACCTCTGCTTGCCACCATGGCCAGGTCTCAGTCACCAACACATTCTACACAGCTGAGTCACTACGTATCTGTGTGAATGAGTCAGTACGCTTCCTCTTGTCCCAGGTTAAGAGTATGGATGCCACCCACACCCTGACAGCCATAGAAAACCCACATCCTAAGACCAAGACCACACCAAAGCCCCTTGATACACCTCCACCCGCCAAGCAGCATTCACAGCCATGGCCATTAGTTGTGGCTCCACCTCCTGATTTACACCTGAGCAAGTGGGACACTATGGTGAGGACAGCAGCAAGGGGTGGGACCCGCTGCTTCCCACAACCCTAAAGGCTACGGTGGGACTTTCCCTAACATCTCCCACAGACAGAGCCGAGGCCCTGCTTTCGCCAAGCCTCATGGGCATGGATGGAGTGCACACACACACACCCAAAAGCCACAGAACTGCATTTTGGGTCCCTGAGCCACCCCAGCAGGGGATCAAATCCCCCTCCTGTTCCTTCTCAGCTCAATTGTTCTTTCAAAGGGAGAAGGGGAGGTGAACTACACTGACCTGGGTTGTTCTATTCCGGTTGTGTGCCCAACAATGGGCAATAGGGTGCCCTCCCATGACCCAGGCCCTCCCTGCTGTGACGCCATTAGGCAACTATGCCCAGCAGGCTCAGCTGTCAGCCAGGACTAGCCTCCCTGCAATAAAGACATCTTTTATTCCCTGTTCAGATCAAGCAAGAATTCTCAACTACAGGTACTGCCTAAATTTACAGATGGATTCCACCTACAAGTTCACTGATAAGTCAGCTGTTTGGAAAAAAGACATTGCCCCAGAGAATCAGAGCCCTGTATACAAGGTAAGCTCCTGAGTCAGCCAGCAAAAGCTTTTTCAAGCACTCTGGGCTTGAAACAGAACCATGAGTGCCGAACCAAAAGAATGAAAGATGCTGACAGCCAAGTTTAACTGCCTGGCTCGAGTCCTCTTGGAAGGCCCGGACCTCATCTCCTTCCCCCAGCAGGTTGATGATACCCTTTCCCCTCCCCCGGAGGTCCCCTGAGAGATCCTCCCTTTGGCTAGGTATGGTAGCGGCCGTAGGCAGTCTAACCGGAGCTGGAGAGTGAGAACCCAAGAGCGTGACAGCCCCATGACCTTGAATCCACAGGGCTTCTTTCTGTCAGCAGACCTGCCATCTGCCTGCCCAGGACATAGCCTACACTACCAACCAGAACACACCAAAACTGCTCACAGTTCTCCCAGTGCTCTTCTGTCCCCCCAAGTAAGGGCAACCCTCTTGAGCTCCCTGAGGATTCTGACTCACTGGAATACAGTCCACGACTTCCCAGCTGCCTTCTGTGCTATGTCCCTTTTGCTCCCACGTCCCCCAGTAGGGAAGGCCAAGCCTTACTGAGACCATCTCTGATGAAGCAAGAGACAGAACCTGCAGATTCACTCTCAGAACAGTCAGGGCAGGCTCTACTCCCTAAGCTGAGCCCTGGGGTAAAGAAAGAGGCTACACTGTGAAGAGGGTAGAAGACAGGACAGGAGAGGAAAAACCAAGCTTGAGGGAGGAGGTGGGAAAGGACGTTCCTGTTCCTGCCTATGCCAGCTCCACCGACATTTACACTGGAGCTGGGGATGCAAGGTGACCATGCCAAAGCCCTGGCATCAGGAGGGGAGAACAATCCAGTAGAGAAAATAGATGTAAAAATAAAAAAGGGCACATTGGAATAAGAGCCACATTAGAAGAATGAACACAAGGTGCATGCGTTGATGCATCTTGTGTTCAGATGTTCAGAAGTGAACATAGGGCTTCCGGGAAGTCAGGGATGAGTCAAAGGAGGCAAGGACAAGCCAGGAGCAAAGGAAGAACACGTGTGTGCCAGGTGGGTGGGGAGCAAGTGCACAGGAGCTGAGAGGGAAGGGACCACTCAGTCACTCAAGGGTCAGCGCTAGGAAGCGAGAGGCAGGGCTGGAAAAGTAGGTGGGGCAGAGGACAAGGGGCAAGCCTAAACGCTGGGTACGTCCTGGCTTAAACAGGGAGCAGAGCTGCAGCCTGTGTGGCACCGAGTAGGATGTGAATGCTAGAAAGATGGGGGTGGGGGTGCAGCAGAGTGTTGGGGGAAGAGATGAGCCCTGGAGGCAGGGAAACCAAGCGGGAACCCAGTGAACACTCAGGTCTGAACTAAAGGAATGGGGAGGGGTGCTGGAGAAAGAACATGACTTGCCAGCCAGGGGATGAGAGGAGGGAAGCATGAGGCTGAGTTTCCAGCTTGTGCAACTGAGAGCGGGTGGTACCATTCACCAAGAGAAGAAACACAGACGAACACTGTGGGAGAGTGGGGGACCAATGGCCACAAGGACTCTCCCGCAACTCCAGGTGGTCTTTGCAAGCAGCCCTAGGCAAATGGCGCAGTTCAGTGCCTTGCCCGGGCTTCAGCACACTAAATTAATACTCCAATCTCACCTGCATCCAAATGTTGTCTGCAGCAAAGTTGTGATTCCCACGCAGAAGAAAATGGTCCCGATTAGTTGGCTGGTTGCCCACTGGTCATAGCCCACACACATGGCGTCAGCCAGCAGAAAGGGCACTGCAATGGTGCCACTGAAGCATGTCAGGTAGTGCTGTGGGCGAGAGGAGAGACGGAGGGGAGAGAGTAAGCCCTTCCTCCTTTTCTCCTGATTTTACCCTAATGTTGCTCCCGTAGTGTCTGAAAAAAAGCCCACAAGAAGAATCTCTTTGGTTTTTTAGGTATTCATTCATGCTGTAGGGCAAATCCTATTTTTTCCTTCATTTTTAGCATTTCTCCTTTTTATTATGTTTTCTTGTCCTATTAAGCTAACAGCAGCAGGTCCCACCCTTTGCTGCTGTCCTCACCATAGTGTGGCAACAGGTATTGTTACTTGTTACCTGCATGAATCCATGCCAGCACAAAGGAAGTACTTAACATGAGCACTGGTGATATTTTACTTATATAATTCTCACTAGGCATATTTGTTTTTTTCTCCCCCCCAAAAAGGTTTTTCCAGCATCAATTGCTAAAACCATAAGGCCTTTCTCCTGAAATCTGTTCACATGAATTGTGTTGTGCTGCGCCATTCTTCCATGCTTGATACAAACCCTAGTTAGCCATGCTATATTTTTCTTCTGGGACTTAATTTATTAATATTTTATATAGAATTTTATATCCACATTCCTAAGATAGATAGTCTACTTTTTAAAAAGGAAACCTTGCAGGGATTAAAGTTTCACAAACTTCATTGCACAGGGTATTTTCCATCTTTTTCTGTGGTCTGGCATTGCTTTGCCAACACAGAATTACATATAGTAGCTGTGGGAATCCTCCAGAAGAAAACCCATCCCACTTCTTGTGGCGCTGGTGGGACATTCCCAGGACTCACGACTCACTTCCCCCTCTTCCCTGCTTGTCCGTTTCTTATTTTTGTTCTGCAAACTTCCTACTTTTCTTCCCATTTCTGCCCATGTTTGCCAACCATATTGCTTGCAGCCCCTGAAGCCCAACTGTGTACCACTAACAGGTGTTTCCTGGGGGAAATAGAACATTCCTGCTCACGACTTCTCAGAGCTGCTCCCAAGTTTGTGTACTGTGTATCGTCAAGAAGGGCATGACACAGTTGGTGTTTCCTATGCCTATTTGACCAGGGAAGGTGTCTTCTTATTTAGGGAATCTGTGCTTGCATGGAAAGTGGTGTGGAATATAGATACCAGGTTGCCAACCACAGTTACACAGAGTACATAAATAATGGAAGGGTCAGTTTTTAAACTTCCATAATACATTTTTGGACTATTTGCTGTTAAACAAGCATGTTCAAGAGAACTTCAATTTTAAAAAACAGCTGGTACCTTAGTAAAAGACAGAATCTGTAGGGAACAAGTCAGAAAAGGTCTTAAACTTAAAAAAAAAAAACCTCAAAACTATAAAAATAAGTTTATTTTAGGGCTGGCTTGTGGCTCACTTGAGAGACTGTGGTGCTGACAACACCAAGGCCACGGGTTCGGATCCCTATATAGGGATGGCCAATTAGTTTACTTGGGAGAGCGTGGTGCTGACGACACCAAGTCAAGGGTTAAGATCCCCTTACTAGTCATCTATTTAAAAAAAAAAAAAAAGTTTATTTTGTCTTATAGAAAATAAACCATCTCTGTGATACTTGCAACTGTGCAGTTGAAACAACTGGCAGCAAAAGACTCCACTGGTGAGCAGGGCAGCACACTCACGTGGAGACTTTAATAACTAGTTTACATGCGACTATTTTTCTGTTATGGCAATTACTGCTCCCTAAGAGCCTTGTGTTATTTTACACTCTGTTATTTACTCCTCATAATGGTCCTGGGAAGTTACAAGCTGCTAGGATCTCACTTTGTGGATGAGGAACTAGAGACTCTGAGAAGGTGTGTGGGTTGCTCGGGAGCTGCATACCGACAGGCTGCCCCCGAAGGCCGCATTTGCCAACATGCTACACGGCCTCTCACAAAGAAACAGAGTTGCTTCCTAATAATTACCAGAAACAACTGATTTTCTGAAATTGTGATTAATAATGATTTTCAGTACCACTGCAACCATCTCAAACACTTCTGTAAACAAATTTTGTAAGGAATCTGTAGAACAGAATACTGATATTTCAGTGGGACCATCTAGGCTATTGACTTGATTATTTCATTTATGTTTCAAATACCCTCCTACGAAGCTCAATTCCCTCAACATCCCTAGTTTAAGAAAGCCAGTGATGCTGAGGTCAATGCTACGAATGTACTGGGCATGGGTCACAATGCATCTTCCACTCAGGATTCGCGATAAGGCCTTACCATGCTTCTGATCCTTTCAGGAATAAATCTCCTTGGGCAAATTCTAAGATGGGTACCTTGTAGCTAATTACGTATTAACCAGCATTTACCACAGGGGGTCAAAAACAGTAACATATGCCAGAAAAGTCAAGTTTTTGATAAAATAAGTAAATGTATTATAATAAAATGTTAACCATTGGGGCCGGCCCGGTGGCACACTGGATGGTGCGCCGCTTGGGAAGCGCAGCAGCGCTCCCGTCCGAGGGTTCAGATCCCATATACAGACCGGTTCCCGCTCACTGGCTGAGCGAGGCGCGGGAGCAACACCGAGGCTTGTGATCCCGTTGCCGGTCCCCGGTCCGGTACGGGGGCAACACTGAGGGTTGCGATCCGTTGCCAGACACGGAAAAAAAGACAAAAGACAAAAAAATAAAATAAAATAAAATAAAATAAAATGTTAACCATAATTAGGAAAGCAAACATGAATATAGAGAACACATAGGACAGCATCACTGGCCCTTGGTTCTCTCATCTCTCCTTCAACCTCCCATTCTTATTTCCTAAGAGAAAGAACCTTTCAGTGCCATCTGAAAAGCAAGATCCCAAAGGGCAGCATCCTCTGGTGTGAAGTTTTTGTTGCACAGATTCAAAATAGCAGGAGATCTAAATATTTCATTTTCTTTGTCTTTCAAACAAGTATATCAATAGCACATTTTTAACAGGGTTCTTATGAGATATGATAGGATGGGCTGCCTAAAAAAGCATCCAGTTGAGAGTCTGGCCTATCTATTAGCCCTATTCAATCCACGGTAGCTCTTCTCACTAGTATTATTTCATAAAACAAGAAAAATAGCCAGTAAAATATGAAGACACTCTATCTCATTAGATAACAAAAAAATTTTCACCCCAAACAGGAAAATAAATGTCCAGCATAAATGTGCTAGATGTTTTTCCTGCAAACAGATCACTACCATCAGTAAAAGGTACAGCTATGGAGGTTAAAAAGTCCCAATGTGTTAATGCCCCTTATTATTCATTTCAAAAGAGAGCCATCATTTCCTGGACAATGGAAGAGGAAGTCCAAAAACAGGACAGCCTGGGATTACCACACACAGAATCTGGTGCGGCCATAAGTCCATGAAGGGTGCTCGGCTACAAGATGTGCCACATGAATGTTGAGATCCCCCGGTGTGGGATGCCACACAAATGCTGAGATCCCCCGGTATGGGATGTGGCCCAGCTGCAGACTGCAGGCCCATGTCCCTGCACCAACCACTGCTGCTCTGATCTCCATGCTCTGAGCATCAGCTCAGAACCTACCACTCCTGGATTTTCAATACCATGCCTGAATCTACTTGAATTTACCTCCATAAAACTTATAACAGCTCAAGAAGCAGGAAAATAATAGTAAATTGGCCAAGATGGCCAAAATTTCCACCCCCCAGAATTTCAATATAATTTCCTTATTCTTTATCATTGTGGTGATTATGTTGTAAATTTACTGCACTAATTCCCAGGTGGGGTATTTACAAGAGTACTTCAAAAAGCTTGTGGAAAATTAAAAGATAATACAAATCCTTCCATGGACTTCTTGAAGACCCCTTGTATTTGTATGTATCAACTTCTTAGTGCTTTGTTAATAGAATATACAGTATACATGATCCACGGTATAATACAGTAATTCTAGATTAGAATATCTCATTATATAAGTTGTTTAAATTAGTAAATTTTCACAGTAAAAATAAAATCCGTTTTAAAAAGCCTACCAAATAAAACTCAAATGAAACTGAGAAGTCTTAGAGCTGTGATGCAATCTGGAAATGCCACATTATCAAACTTTCCATATGTGTTAGGCACAGCGCAGACATAAAGAAAAACAGGAATCAAGGTATCTAGACCCTCTTTGGGCAGCTCTCTCGTAGCTGCTATAACTACGGTCACAGAGACTGACCCTTTAAGGAGATGGGATGAGACCAGAAAAAAAGACTCTCCCTGCCTTACTGTGTGGTGTTCAAGAGCTTCATCAAAGGCATTTTCACAATCTACACAGACTACCTGCTGGTTTTTATTTTTTACTTTTTGCACATATAATATGTTAACAGATACAATGCTAATAACTTTATACATATTATTTCATTCAATCTTCACAACAGCCCTAACACAGATGCTGATGTTTCTCTTCCCATTTTAGAGATGAGGAAACTGAGGCCCAGAAAGCTTCAGTAATTCCCTCAGGGTCTGAGTCACATTTGAATCCAGACCTAACTTCAGATCCCAGTCTCTTCCCTCTGGCATCTTGGCTGAGGTTTTTAAAAACATCTACATAATGACCCCTTGTAAGGTTCTCACCATAACTACCATTTAGACAATTAAAAACTAGTAACTTCTACTCCTCGTGACTCCTCCTATGTCCATTATAAAGAGAACACTCCCACACAAGACACACCCCCTCAGGAGGGTAGAGACCAAGCCCCAGATGAAGGACATGTGTCTCTGCACAGGACACAGGGCAACAGTGACGTGTGAGTGGATGTGGGTACGGTAAGGGTACCTTTTCCGCGATGCCATTTTCTGTGGTATAGATAGCCATGAGTTCAGTGTCTTCATTGTCCTGTTCACCACTGGACGTAGCACCTCCGTTTATCACCACCTGAAGGGAAACACTTCATTTAGAGGCTGTGTAAGTGTACACCACTCTGCTGTGTAGAAATATCTTTTCCCCCCAAAAAGCCTTTTGCAATTCTCATGAGAGCCAAAACCTGTGTGTTTTTCACCTATGAAAGTGGAGGAAATCAGGCCATTGAAAAATTGCATTTCTCGTTCAAAAGCACACAGATTATAACCCAAGTCTTAGGCTGGTTTTCAAGTATGCCAGAGATCTCAATTAACAGTGCATATTCTTACAGGGCAGAATTTTCTCATATTATTCCAAATAAAGATCTGCTTATAAAACTATTTCTCAACTATGCCATAGCTTTTTACACAAGCCAACTGGGTCTGTAGCTGGTTTGCCTATAAAACTAGCTCCTGGTGGGACACACATTCCAGCCAGGTTCAGGTTCACAACACAACACTCTTAACTTACTATGAGAACCATGCTCCAACTCGTATCACAGCAGCACTCAACTCACTGAGAAGCTAAGAGGGACACACACTCAGGATGAACTCTCTTACAACAACGTTTAGTTATGAAATATCAGAGAAACCCAGTTCAGATTTAACATCCCAGGCCAGCTAAACTAACCTTCACCTGCATTCATCTCAGGTTGCTGCAGGGAATGATGGCTTCATGAGCACGGGGTTTCCTTCTGGGGTGATGAAAATGTTTTGGCACTAGGTGGTGGTGGATGCACAACATTGTGAATGTGTTAAATCTCACTGAATTGTTCACGTTGAAATGGTTAACTTTATGTTATACGAACTTCACCTCAATAATTTTTTTTTTTTTNAGAAACATCTATAATACAAACATTTCAAAAAGCATGTCTCTTAAACCTGGTTTGGGATACTCAGCCCAAGGTAAATTATTGGCCAAGACCACTCAGCTCCTGTGGCTCTGACTCCTCCTTTCCCAGACACCTTCCTGTCCAGGCTACCATGTGCTTTGATATCCAGAGCGGGGGCTACAAACTCAACCAAAGTTGCAGCTGGCGGAAGGCACAGCTCCGCCTCGAGTGAATGAACCTGTCAGGGCAATGAGACCTATTTTCTCAGCACCTGAGATACCTTAGGTGGAAATGATCATACAAACTGGAGAAAGGAGGAATGGAAAGGCGGACCTCAGACGGGGTCCAAGCCAAAACCACCACAGCAAATACAGGCTGGGAGATGTCTGAGGAAAGAACCTCCCACCATGCCCTTTTTCTCCAAAAAGCCTCACTTTACTCCTGTAAGAGGGAAAAGGGTGCTGAAAAGAGAGGAGAGAGAGCACCAAAGACGCAGGAGGCCTCCGGCAGCTGTGTCACCTCCCACCTTCCTTGTCCCCCGGCCCACCAGGCCTCCCCTCCAGCTGGAAGCCACAGCAGCTAAAGTAGCCACTATCATGGCAAGGCTCCCCTTCCTTTAAAAAATAAGACAATCTCCCATGTATGTCCTGGCCAACGGGGCACTTTTCAGGGTCACCAACATTCCACGGCAGAGCTTGCCATGCCTGTGCTTGGCTGACTAGGCCAGGGATGGGAGATGAAAATTAACTCCTCTTTCCTCTATGCTCCACTTTTCTCCTTCCTCTGTCCTCCCTTCTTTCCTGTCTCTACTACCTTCTTCATTCACGTCACTTCTCCTGCTTGTTCCCTGAACGTTTTCCTTCTTTCTTTCCCTGGTTAACCTGCTCCTCCTGTTCTTTCCTGCCTCCCACTATTATGAAATCTATGTTAACAATTCCCATCAAGCATTCTTAAAAGAGTAATTTATAATAAAGCCTTCAATAATAAAAAAGTTGAATTTTCTAAAAACCCAGATGGTAGACAATTCAAGCATTTGTTGGTGGTTACACATCCTAAAGGAACCATCTTACCTGCAACCCCAGAAATATACACAGATACCAGGGAGGAACATCTTCTATGGTGTAAATCATGTCTGATCTCTGGGGGTCCAGACTGCCAGTGCTATCCAGGGTCTCCGCGAGAGAGCTCTGTGGGCAAGAGAAAGAAGAGGAGGCACTTAGTAAACGCAAGGACTAATATTAACTGAGTTCAGTATGGGCCACTGTCACTGAAAAACAACTTTATCAAGTGGCCACCACCATCGTATAATTTTGAGCCTTGGCTACCCTGATGCAAGGTTCAAGTACACTCACTCTGTATTTGAGCACAGAGAATGATTAAGCAAATGTAGTAAAATGTTAATATTTAGGGAATCCGTGCTTGCATGGAAAGTGGTGTGGAATATAGATACCAGGTTGCCAACCACAGTTACACAGAGTACATAAATAATGGAAGGGTCAGTTTTTAAACTTCCATAATACATTTTTGGACTATTTGCTGTTAAACAAGCATGTTCAAGAGAACTTCAATTTTAAAAAACAGCTGGTACCTTAGTAAAAGACAGAATCTGTAGGGAACAAGTCAGAAAAGGTCTTAAACTTAAAAAAAAAAAAACCTCAAAATTATAAAAATAAGTTTATTTTAGGGCTGGCTTGTGGCTCACTTGAGAGACTGTGGTGCTGACAACACCAAGGCCACGGGTTCGGATCCCTATATAGGGATGGCCAATTAGTTTACTTGGGAGAGCGTGGTGCTGACGACACCAAGTCAAGGGTTAAGATCCCCTTACTAGTCATCTATTTAAAAAAAAAAAAAAAGTTTATTTTGTCTTATAGAAAATAAACCATCTCTGTGATACTTGCAACTGTGCAGTTGAAACAACTGGCAGCAAAAGACTCCACTGGTGAGCAGGGCAGCACACTCACGTGGAGACTTTAATAACTAGTTTACATGCGACTATTTTTCTGTTATGGCAATTACTGCTCCCTAAGAGCCTTGTGTTATTTTACACTCTGTTATTTACTCCTCATAATGGTCCTGGGAAGTTACAAGCTGCTAGGATCTCACTTTGTGGATGAGGAACTAGAGACTCTGAGAAGGTGTGTGGGTTGCTCGGGAGCTGCATACCGACAGGCTGCCCCCGAAGGCCGCATTTGCCAACATGCTACACGGCCTCTCACAAAGAAACAGAGTTGCTTCCTAATAATTACCAGAAACAACTGATTTTCTGAAATTGTGATTAATAATGATTTTCAGTACCACTGCAACCATCTCAAACACTTCTGTAAACAAATTTTGTAAGGAATCTGTAGAACAGAATACTGATATTTCAGTGGGACCATCTAGGCTATTGACTTGATTATTTCATTTATGTTTCAAATACCCTCCTACGAAGCTCAATTCCCTCAACATCCCTAGTTTAAGAAAGCCAGTGATGCTGAGGTCAATGCTACGAATGTACTGGGCATGGGTCACAATGCATCTTCCACTCAGGATTCGCGATAAGGCCTTACCATGCTTCTGATCCTTTCAGGAATAAATCTCCTTGGGCAAATTCTAAGATGGGTACCTTGTAGCTAATTACGTATTAACCAGCATTTACCACAGGGGGTCAAAAACAGTAACATATGCCAGAAAAGTCAAGTTTTTGATAAAATAAGTAAATGTATTATAATAAAATGTTAACCATTGGGGCCGGCCCGGTGGCACACTGGATGGTGCGCCGCTTGGGAAGCGCAGCAGCGCTCCCGTCCGAGGGTTCAGATCCCATATACAGACCGGTTCCCGCTCACTGGCTGAGCGAGGCGCGGGAGCAACACCGAGGCTTGTGATCCCGTTGCCGGTACCCGGTCCGGTACGGGGGCAACACTGAGGGTTGCGATCCGTTGCCAGACACGGAAAAAAAGACAAAAGACAAAAAAATAAAATAAAATAAAATAANTCTGATCCTTTCAGGAATAAATCTCCTTGGGCAAATTCTAAGATGGGTACCTTGTAGCTAATTACGTATTAACCAGCATTTACCACAGGGGGTCAAAAACAGTAACATATGCCAGAAAAGTCAAGTTTTTGATAAAATAAGTAAATGTATTATAATAAAATGTTAACCATAATTAGGAAAGCAAACATGAATATAGAGAACACATAGGACAGCATCACTGGCCCTTGGTTCTCTCATCTCTCCTTCAACCTCCCATTCTTATTTCCTAAGAGAAAGAACCTTTCAGTGCCATCTGAAAAGCAAGATCCCAAAGGGCAGCATCCTCTGGTGTGAAGTTTTTGTTGCACAGATTCAAAATAGCAGGAGATCTAAATATTTCATTTTCTTTGTCTTTCAAACAAGTATATCAATAGCACATTTTTAACAGGGTTCTTATGAGATATGATAGGATGGGCTGCCTAAAAAAGCATCCAGTTGAGAGTCTGGCCTATCTATTAGCCCTATTCAATCCACGGTAGCTCTTCTCACTAGTATTATTTCATAAAACAAGAAAAATAGCCAGTAAAATATGAAGACACTCTATCTCATTAGATAACAAAAAAATTTTCACCCCAAACAGGAAAATAAATGTCCAGCATAAATGTGCTAGATGTTTTTCCTGCAAACAGATCACTACCATCAGTAAAAGGTACAGCTATGGAGGTTAAAAAGTCCCAATGTGTTAATGCCCCTTATTATTCATTTCAAAAGAGAGCCATCATTTCCTGGACAATGGAAGAGGAAGTCCAAAAACAGGACAGCCTGGGATTACCACACACAGAATCTGGTGCGGCCATAAGTCCATGAAGGGTGCTCGGCTACAAGATGTGCCACATGAATGTTGAGATCCCCCGGTGTGGGATGCCACACAAATGCTGAGATCCCCCGGTATGGGATGTGGCCCAGCTGCAGACTGCAGGCCCATGTCCCTGCACCAACCACTGCTGCTCTGATCTCCATGCTCTGAGCATCAGCTCAGAACCTACCACTCCTGGATTTTCAATACCATGCCTGAATCTACTTGAATTTACCTCCATAAAACTTATAACAGCTCAAGAAGCAGGAAAATAATAGTAAATTGGCCAAGATGGCCAAAATTTCCACCCCCCAGAATTTCAATATAATTTCCTTATTCTTTATCATTGTGGTGATTATGTTGTAAATTTACTGCACTAATTCCCAGGTGGGGTATTTACAAGAGTACTTCAAAAAGCTTGTGGAAAATTAAAAGATAATACAAATCCTTCCATGGACTTCTTGAAGACCCCTTGTATTTGTATGTATCAACTTCTTAGTGCTTTGTTAATAGAATATACAGTATACATGATCCACGGTATAATACAGTAATTCTAGATTAGAATATCTCATTATATAAGTTGTTTAAATTAGTAAATTTTCACAGTAAAAATAAAATCCGTTTTAAAAAGCCTACCAAATAAAACTCAAATGAAACTGAGAAGTCTTAGAGCTGTGATGCAATCTGGAAATGCCACATTATCAAACTTTCCATATGTGTTAGGCACAGCGCAGACATAAAGAAAAACAGGAATCAAGGTATCTAGACCCTCTTTGGGCAGCTCTCTCGTAGCTGCTATAACTACGGTCACAGAGACTGACCCTTTAAGGAGATGGGATGAGACCAGAAAAAAAGACTCTCCCTGCCTTACTGTGTGGTGTTCAAGAGCTTCATCAAAGGCATTTTCACAATCTACACAGACTACCTGCTGGTTTTTATTTTTTACTTTTTGCACATATAATATGTTAACAGATACAATGCTAATAACTTTATACATATTATTTCATTCAATCTTCACAACAGCCCTAACACAGATGCTGATGTTTCTCTTCCCATTTTAGAGATGAGGAAACTGAGGCCCAGAAAGCTTCAGTAATTCCCTCAGGGTCTGAGTCACATTTGAATCCAGACCTAACTTCAGATCCCAGTCTCTTCCCTCTGGCATCTTGGCTGAGGTTTTTAAAAACATCTACATAATGACCCCTTGTAAGGTTCTCACCATAACTACCATTTAGACAATTAAAAACTAGTAACTTCTACTCCTCGTGACTCCTCCTATGTCCATTATAAAGAGAACACTCCCACACAAGACACACCCCCTCAGGAGGGTAGAGACCAAGCCCCAGATGAAGGACATGTGTCTCTGCACAGGACACAGGGCAACAGTGACGTGTGAGTGGATGTGGGTACGGTAAGGGTACCTTTTCCGCGATGCCATTTTCTGTGGTATAGATAGCCATGAGTTCAGTGTCTTCATTGTCCTGTTCACCACTGGACGTAGCACCTCCGTTTATCACCACCTGAAGGGAAACACTTCATTTAGAGGCTGTGTAAGTGTACACCACTCTGCTGTGTAGAAATATCTTTTCCCCCCAAAAAGCCTTTTGCAATTCTCATGAGAGCCAAAACCTGTGTGTTTTTCACCTATGAAAGTGGAGGAAATCAGGCCATTGAAAAATTGCATTTCTCGTTCAAAAGCACACAGATTATAACCCAAGTCTTAGGCTGGTTTTCAAGTATGCCAGAGATCTCAATTAACAGTGCATATTCTTACAGGGCAGAATTTTCTCATATTATTCCAAATAAAGATCTGCTTATAAAACTATTTCTCAACTATGCCATAGCTTTTTACACAAGCCAACTGGGTCTGTAGCTGGTTTGCCTATAAAACTAGCTCCTGGTGGGACACACATTCCAGCCAGGTTCAGGTTCACAACACAACACTCTTAACTTACTATGAGAACCATGCTCCAACTCGTATCACAGCAGCACTCAACTCACTGAGAAGCTAAGAGGGACACACACTCAGGATGAACTCTCTTACAACAACGTTTAGTTATGAAATATCAGAGAAACCCAGTTCAGATTTAACATCCCAGGCCAGCTAAACTAACCTTCACCTGCATTCATCTCAGGTTGCTGCAGGGAATGATGGCTTCATGAGCACGGGGTTTCCTTCTGGGGTGATGAAAATGTTTTGGCACTAGGTGGTGGTGGATGCACAACATTGTGAATGTGTTAAATCTCACTGAATTGTTCACGTTGAAATGGTTAACTTTATGTTATACGAACTTCACCTCAATAATTTTTTTTTTTTTTAATCTGTGTACATGGCACCAAAGAGGACAGACTTTGGAAGGAGTTAGCAAGTCTCACTGCTTCCTTTACTTACTCTATATACATACATACACACAAACCTTAAATAAATACTGTAAAATGCAGACCCTCCATAGCCTAGAAAAAGGCTCACATATTCACTCAACAAATCCTAACTGTGCACTAGACAATGAGGATGCAGTCTTCCCACTTCTTAAGAGCTCCATTCAGAGGGGGTGCTACAAGGATCCACGAACGGATACTGAGCACAGGAGAGCCATGATCTGATACGTGCCTTGGACAACCACTCTGACTGTAGCTAGGTGGAGTAAAGTGATGAGGACAGGAGCAGAGACAGGCAGACCCTTCAGGACGAGAGAGAACAATGGCCTGGGCCACAGTATTAACAGCGGTCTGGGAAAGGTAGTCTAGTTCAAGAGAGAGCAAGGTTGTGAACTGGATGCCTCCTGGAGACTGCCTGGATGGGAGCTGCAGCACTGCCCAACTCTGAGGGCAAGTTCAGGGGGAGATACCACCACAGTACAACGAGCAACACCCAACCCTGGGCCAGAGGCTGGAGGCAGAGAGAGGGGTAAAGTATCCAGGCCACTGTTCAGCTTTTCTCACCTGGGCGGCTGGGTGGATGGAGATACCAGTCCCAAAGAGACTGGTGTAGGGAGAGAGAGAGTGTTGATAAGCCAAAATATGCTTGACACATAGAAAATATCCCAGCAGGAAAGTTTTACCTTCCCAGGCTAGTCCAGGAAGTTTATTTAACTATAAACATTATTGACCTAAATAATCTATGACTTCTAATGTATTTGCATAGTTTCCCTTGGGATCTCAGAGCCCACTTTCCACCCTGTCAATCTCACATTGCAGAGCTGGGATGCAGCCAACCCACCTCCCCTCTCCCATGCCACCCTCATCCCCCAAAGGAGGGAAACATGGAGGGGCCCTTCTCCCATGGCCCTCATGCTCCACCAGAGCTCCAGCTGGGAATGGGAACAAACTTGGAAAGCAGGAGGTTTTGGAGCAATGGGGAGATGAAACAGATTCTTACTGAAGGGAGAAACGGACTTGGCAGCCAAGGAGGTGCGGACACTCATGGGGGGACTGCTGTTGACTGACTGGCTCATTTCTGATGGCTTATGTGCAGGGAGCTGCCTAAACAGTGCTTAAAGATGAAGAGTTCTATTCAAAATATTAGCCTATTTTACTAGTATTTTTTCTTTTGGTTTATTTAATTAGCCATTTAATGATTTACTTATTAAAAAAATACAAAATTTAATTTTAAAAAGTCACATGTTAGAAATCAGTTCTTCATGAAAGGCACTGAAAAATTTTTAAGGGAAAAGTATAAAAATAATGATGGTATCAAAGCTTCACATTTTTGAACCTCTAAATTTTTTTTTTTTGTCCTTTTTGAGACCGGCCGCACAACGCTCAGCTAGTGAGCGCACCGGCCATCCCTATACAGGATCCGAACCCGCGGCGGGAGCGCACTCTCCTGAGTGCGCCACGGGCTCAGCCCTCTAAATATTATTTTAATTGAGAAATAAAACATATCTTGGAAAGCTTGCTAAATCAATAAAGTCTGATTTTCTTTTGTGTTATTAACAGCATTACAGATAACAGAGAGGAATCTTGGCATCTTTCATCTCAGGAAATTGATAAAGTTTTTATTAAAAATATCAGATTATTTATAATCTCTTTGGGAACAGAATGCCCTTTCTCTCTAAAAAACTATTTGAAACTAAACTGTGGCTTTAGATTTTGTCTCATACTAATATTGTACAGGCTGGCTGGTTAGTTCAGTTTGTTAGAGCATGGTGTTATGACACCAAAATCAAAGATTCGCATCCCTGTACTGGCCAGACACAAAAAAACAAAGCAAACAAACAAAAAACTGATATTGTACAATCACTCACTCAATCGGCTATGAAAACAGGTTTCTCTGCCTAAATATGTCTGGTTGATTTTGTTTGTCTCCAATATGCACGGCTAGTTTGACTTTGGCTGTTGAGTGTGCCTGTTGCTCAATAAATACAATGTCCTTTTTTGCTCAAGTGTTTTATTTCTACTAAGCTAAGACGATGATGTTAGTATTTGTTTTTAAACAATTCTCCTGAGATATTCAGAGGTGTAGGAAGCACGAGTGGCAGAAGCCATAGCCCAAGGGTGTGGTGCTGAGGATCAGTCTTACAACAATGCCAGGTTTGAAGTGACAGCTGGGGGCACCTATGTTATGCAGAAGCGACAGTGAACTAGCTGCTTACTAGCACCTGTGTAGAGGGCACAGGCGCCTGGGAAATCCTGAACCTCTGTGGAGTGCTCAGACCCCGACTCCTCACCGCTTCAGGATTTGGTATAATTCACCCACCACTATAATGTGTCTGTGCAGCAGCAAAGTAAACCATTTTATAGTAACGCACTTTCTGGGTAGTAAAGTAATAAAGTTCCCCAAATTAACTCCTTTCTATTCTTTTAAAAGGTAACACATATTATTCTTTACTTCCCCCAATATACACACAAGATTAGGAATAAAGATATCAAGATTAGCATTTCCCAGCCTTTATTCCAAGCTCCTTTGTAATGAACATAAAAATCTCCTACCTATCATCACTATTATTGGAAATTCAAAAATTAACTACCATGAATAAATCAAAGTGAGCTTTGTCAAGCCACAAAGTGGCTTGTGACATGCCAAAAGATGTAGATGAAAGATGTAACTAACTCTAGCTACCTTGAAGCTGGCTGATGAAACACAGCATCTATTTCTGCTTTCATAGCCTCTCCAAGTTGGATGGCACCTGTGACACCCCTGGTGGCCACATGCAAGCAAAACCATCTGGGGCAGCCAATGCCACAGGCAAAAGCACACGTTGACCCTGGAAAGCTCAACCTCCTTCACTTGCACGGCCCAGCCCTGGTCTTCCTAGGGCGCTTTCTCCAAAGGGCTCCTGGGGCCACAGCAGCCAGAAGCATGCTAAGGGTTCCTTACATCTGCCAAGGTCACTTTTCTTAAAAAAAAAAAAAAAAGAGAGAGAGAGAGAGACAGAGAGAGAGAAGGGAAAGGAAGGAAGGAGGAAGAAGCTAGAGGGATCCTTTTAAAACTAGGCAGAGCCTGTCACACCTCTGTCCAAAACCGTATGTAATCTCTAGGTTACGCCACCTCGCTGCTGTCAGCCACATCAGGCACCCTCCTGCCTCAGGGCCTTTACACTTGCTGCTCTGCACTGTCATGACAGCTCCCCCTCAACTCCTCCAGGCCTTTACAGAAATGCTATCTTCTCGGTGAGGCCTTTCCTGATCACCTGAACTTCAACACCCTGTCCTGCTTCCCAAATTTTTTCCTTTGTAATTATTAACATACAACAGCCACACACTTGACTTATTTCTATCAGGTGCTGCCTCCACTACCAGAAGGGATCTCCATGAGGTCAGAGATTTTTATCTGTCTATTTTTTTCTGTCTATTCTCTGCTGTTCCCCTAGAACCTGTGGGGGGCATTCAATTAATATTAATGACCTGCAGGTCCTGTAAGATCCTTGTCTGACCTCACACGATATTCCTCACTATCCCCCTTTTCTGATTTATTTTTCTTCACAGAATTGGTCACTGGCTGCCACACGATTGATGTATTTGCTTACTTGTTTATTGTCTGTCTCTGCCCACCACCACTAAAAGGCTAATTCCACAAGAGCAGGAACCTTGGCTTGTTCCACAGCTGTGTTCCCATAGCCTCATATGAAGCAGGCTCCCAATAAACATCTGCTGACCAAAAGAATTCCTTTCCTTCCTACTTTTCAGGTCAGGTCACAATTGATTCTCACCTGGACTGCCCTAAACACCCTAACTTGCCTTCCTGTCTCCAGACCCTCCCTGCCCCTGCACCCACTGCTGAAATTCTCTACCCCAAATATTCTCACAGAGGCTGTTAAGAGCAGTAGAAGAAATAAAAACTTATGGAATCTTAGAAACTTTCCCCAGCTCTGAATGACATGCTGAAACAACAGGCTGGATTACAAATGTGTGCATGCCAATAGGAAGTGCAGGCTATTAACTTGGTTTCCAGGTTCAAATGATACCAGAGCTACTGACACAGGAGAACTGTGGAGCAAACACAATTTTTTTCTGGCTGTTCTTCCCAGCTGTACTTCCGAGCCAATGTCCTTAAGGAACGGTAGTTCTTCAAGACTTT